TTTGGAAACTGCATTAAGTATTCATAAAATACATTTGAAATTCAATTTTCACCTATCGCCAAGTTTTTAATTGAACATCGACCCAATTCCAAAGTTTGATTGATGCTTAATTTGGTATCGATTGTGCGCTGCAGCAAGGTGCAACAGTTTTCGACAGAGTTTCCAAACGGATTGGAAATGATATAGATTTCCACGTCCATCCTTTAAAGTAATATCATTATAGACATGAGTCCAATTAGCCCGATGATACCCGTAAGTTGACTCCAATCTATCGATCTATATTGGTCTTCGCCGAAACGAATGGAGGCACAGAACCGATTACATTATGCGCGCAATTGCGGTTAATTAATGTAACGCACGAGGATCGCAATTGACGCAATAATTAAAAGTGCACCGCAGACTGATGAACGCAAATTGCGGTTTTCGTATATTCCATCAATCAATCCATCCATCCGTTAGATTATTGCAAAATTTTGAGAATCGACATTTTTTTGGGTTTTAAATTAGTTGTTTTGCAAATCGATAATTTCTGGGTCGTTCATTAATTACATTTCGGAGCGTTTCATGTTTGTTATTTGGGAATACGGGATAATTACGAGCCGGGTAAATAGTGGATGTGTCGTGTCCTGTGGGAAATGCGTCGCATTCATAAAATGCACGTACATCAAACAAAAAATAGCGTAAAAGTTCTGCAGCGCATTTGCTGTTTCTGCGAATAAACACGGAGTTGCGTAATTAAAAACATATTTTTTTGTGTTTACGTTATATGTGAATACTGTATGAATTTTGTTACGGATTTAAAAAAATACTAACAAAAAAATATGTTTTATTGGTAACAAGAACTTTGTAACTATAATATTAAAAAAAACTACTTTTCTTGACTAATGGAAATAAATAAGAAATCCAAAAATATTTGGTTTTGCAATCCTATTAAAATTGACCCTAAACTAACAGCTGTAAAGAAAAATAAGGGGCTAAAGGAAGCTAAAAGTGACATCTTTCAAATGACAAAGGAAAAAATCTTAACATTTGCATTTGTCCTTCGAAACTAACGTAATTCTATCTATTTGTGAAGACCGAAATATAAAAACAACCCAATATAGAGTAATAATTTGTCTCAAAACACAATCAGTAATAAATTCTTGTCCATTTTATTTACTTTTTTAATAGTAATAGATTTTTACACAGTAATATACCTATTTTTCGGACTAAAAAACGCACATTTTTACATAGAAAAATGAACTATATAATATTTTTTTCAATAAATCATCTCTAAATTTGAAAATAAAACAAACAAAAACTTTCATATAACATGAGGTATAAACTAAATGTGATCAATTGTGCAAAACAATATGGAAACAGAGCAGAAGAAAGACATTTTGGTGCACCACCAACAGAGAAAATGTTTTGAGAATGGAGAATACAAGAGAAACAATTAAAACTGCTAAGTAAAGACAAGAAAACATTCCGTTCGCACTTAGAAAAATGGACTCAAATTTTGGGTAAAGTTAAAATATTTGTTTCAATAAATTGTCTCTTAATTTGAGTAATAACATTCAAGTTTGATCATGAACGAAAGTTTAAATTCATTTCAACATTTAGAAAATGCTTTAAGATTTTAACTTTATTTTTTAACCGAATTGCATACAAGTTGCTTGTGTGTGTACTAATTTAATAAAAGTACCTTTTACACTTAGAAATAATTATTATATATAATAGAAAACTTTTAATAAAGATCAAAGTCTATGAACGCAAAATTAACTATTGTTGCCCTTAACCAAGATATCCTTATTTTCGTTTCATTAAGTTCCAAGTAAGTGTTTAAAGGCAGTAGAAAGCTGCAGTTGACGGCTTGAAATTTAATTAACAAAAACGTTTTAATAACCTTCAAGGAAAATATATACTTTCTTGAGAGGTTTATTAAAAATATGTGCATCCTTTACATTAAAAATCTATTTATTGAAAAATCACTAATTCCACTATTAATCAAAAAAAAACAATTGTTCAAGTGAATAACGAATAGTATAAAATACTTATATTAAGATAATTCAGTGATTTTCAAGCAGAATGTGTCTTGAAAATTTATGAAAGTAGTAAAAATTAGGTCATTATTTAAATAAGAAGCTTTACTTGGGTTAGAAAACGTTGCACACCTGCGGCACAATGAATCACCTGCAGCTGCGATTGTTTAAACAGTCATTATTTGGGAACAAATTAGTTAACTATTTAAAATATTACAATAATTTCTAAATAGAAATGCTATATCAGTCAAATAAAATTTATTATTTAACAATAGTTTTGTCTATAAGAAAATGTATGGGCTTTTCAATAAATTTGAATCAAAACGCACAAAATTAGATTTATTAACGATTGAAAACATTTTCGTATTTTATAAGAAATTAATTTAAATTAAGAATTATGGAAAAATTGCTTTATATGGTTTGAATATACGCTTTGTCTGTGTCACGACGAATCAGGGTTTATTTGAACGTTTCAACAATTTTTATTGGACTACAAAAAAGGTGCGTTTTACACACTTGATTAGAGAGTAATAAAACTGTAGTCGAAGCTGCAAATCATATCGCCAAACGTGGGATCGCCAACCCCCGACTCTATTCGTTTGGGTCGGCCCACTGTCTTCTTTTTTGTTAACGGATAAAATCTTAAAAATGGTTCTTTTAAACCAACTGAAAATGGGCACAAACATTTGTGTATTGACTGTAATCTAAATTATTAATTATTAAAAAAAATACTAAAAATTATTATGATTACAGATTATTAGGAAACACTATTTTTACAACATAAAGTCAATATAATTGTGAAAAAAAATAATAATACATGCATATTGTTAATAAAAAAACATAATAACAACATGCTTTTTAATTACGTTTAAAATTGTTAAGAAAAATATAGCAAATATATTGAATTTCTACATATTCTTAAATTACATGCATTATTTACGTATAAATATATAAATTCTTTTATAAAGTAACATTTACATTAAATAAAAATCAATATAAATCGAAAAAGAGTCAAATACAATTCAGTTAATTCTAATACTACTATAATATTAAAATTATTTCTTTCATTAATTAGAGGTTTTTTTAAACCCAATAAGTTAGAAAAATAGTGTCAAAATACGAATTACTTTGAATCTTCAACAATTTAAATTATATTAATTATTAGTTGTTTTTCATAAAATTAATTTAAGAATTAATATATTGTCTTAAAAAATAGTTTAAAAATTGAAAAGATTTATAGTTAATACAGCTTTACAGTTATCAGTTATTATTAATTATTAGAATTTAAAATAAATTTGATAAATTTTTGTATAATTATTGCAATAAACATTATTATTTATTTACACATTTTTACTATAAATAATTTAAACTGAAAGTCTATCGATTTTAGGTATTTCTATCAATATTATATATATTCAAATTATAACTTACATGAATCATTATTCATTACATAAACGACGTTTAATAAAAACCGCAAATTGTGTTCCCTACATATGAATTTCAAAGAAAACGTTAAGCAGTGATTATGGTTCATGCCTGGATGAATCATTCAAATGCATAAACACATTTCTTATCTATATATTGATTGTCTATATTATTTACATAACTTTTGATTTAAATAATATATTTATAAAAATATGTATTCATGGCTAAAGATACACCACGTATGCAACCCATTATACTTTAAGCCTTAAAGAAAATTAAAAAGGAGGCATTTTTTATTGAAAATTGGGTCTATATCGCAGGCCCGACAAACGAAAGACCGTCTATTGAAAGCCCGACGTTCTAAATCGCGAGTTTATTGAAATCCCGACTATGTCAAAATCCCGGATAAAAAAATACTTTTAAGACCTAGTTCGATGGCTCTTTTGCCCGATTATTAATTGTTGTTATTTATTCTTAATAACAATAAATAATATTAATTATTATTGTTTTTTTTTTCGTTGACTTATTCATTATAAAACTTAAGAATAAGAAATATTCTATAATAAAATTAGTTTATGTTATTAACAATTAATAATCTTATTAAGTTTTAGATTGTCGGAATTTTGATTGTCGGGATTATAGTAGTTGGGATTTTGACATAGTCGGGATTTCGAACGTCGGGATTTCAAACGTCGGGATTTCGATAGACCTAAAAACACTTAGTGCCAATCACAAATGTATTTGTATGTGCAAGGACGATTTGATTGAGAAAATATTAATTTGATGGTAAGAAAGTCTATTGTTTTATTAATATTGTTATGTATGTACGTATTTCATTTTGTTTTTTTTTTCTATACTGTTGCAATAAAGATTATTAATATTAATAATTTGATATTTAATTAGTAATATAACGTGAGGTATAAACTAAATGTGATCAATTGTACAAAACAATATAGAAACATAGCAGAACAAAGACATTTTGGTCCACCACTAACAAAGAAAATGGTTTGAGAATGGAGAAAACAAGAGAAATAATTAAAACTGCTAAGACTTTTTTTGGGTAAAATTAAAATATTTGTTTCAATAAATCGTCTCTTAATTTGACGTTTGTTATAGATTATTAGTATTAATAATTTGATATTTAATTAGTAATAATTTTATGCAGAAATAAGAGTTTTTGATACGTATTTATAGTTAATATTTAAGTTATTTTTTGTATCTTATTTGTATCAAGGTAAGAAATATTGTAAATAAGACAAATAATTGGATGATTTACATGATAATCCGTTTAAGGATTAAGCGCATATGCTATTTCCTGAACAATAGACTGATAGTTCTAACAATAGTTCTATGCACTACGCTTAATATCATCATCGCAAGTGACAATAGACTTCCGCAATATCGGCTTGTCTGTCAGGAAGTCGTGTAGGATAATATTGTTATTGAGGATCGATCGATGTTCAACTGGATGTACCACAACACAATCAGATCATATCATTGGATTTAAGGGCTTTATGGGATAATGATACAAAAGAAACGTGTATTTTCATTAAGTAAAGAATAAAAATATTTTTTTATTATCATCATCATTATATTATTATTTTTTTTTGTAAAAGGTACACACACCAAACACAAAAATCTTTGGCGTTTGTTTCCTACGTTGCGTAAAAAAAATTGTAAAACTTAAAAGTTTCGTATTTCGAATAAAAAAATAAAATTTAAGGAAACGTTTCAGACATGAAAAAAAAATCATTAAAATGTGCAAACACGAATTTTCATCTCACGGATATTATTTTTTTCTTTTAAGAAACGACTCAACTCATACGTAAATTTAAATTAGTTATCTCGCAGTCTCAGATTTGTGCATCGATCACGTCTTTTCGAAGATGTTCAGGCGGTCAATTCGATAGGAGTCGGTTCCAAGCCGCACGGTCTCCTGAACTCTTGACCCCTTTCATGTATCCACTTATTGGAAACTGCAAAACAAATTGAATTGTTAACTGCTTGATCTTCGTTCGGTCGGATGATTAGAGACACTTACCCCATTTGGAGCCGGCGAGGACCGGGCAAGCCGCATGTCTTGTACTCCTGTCTCCGTCTCCGGATGCGTGCAAATTGTACCAGAAAGCCGCTGTTCCTTTCTTGGGCCAAAGGGCTGTTTTGATGCTCGGGAATACTGTTGCTCCTCCTTGCGCCACATCGCTCATCTACAACAGCAGAAGTAATGTAACATAATATCGTTGTAAACGTTTCAGCTAAAGCTGAGAAAACACTAGTTATTTCATAAAAATATTTGTTACACATTGTTAAAATGGTTGGTTTGATATTCTATATTTTATCTAATTATTCCATATAATACAGATTTACGTAAAGTGTATCAATTTATTTCACACTTTATATTATACAATTATGTTATTTTCATACATCGTATAAGAGTGTTGTTTCGTTATGATACAACTAGGAATCAATTATATTGTGCGATGACTTTACTTTTTATATAATAAGTAGATAATTTATAGAATAAAGCAAATAATCAAATTTCACGAAAGTAATACCTAAGCAATGCCATTAATTAACATAAAAATAACTAAAACTTACGTAAAATAGAACGGTTGCAATCCTGTTACCGGTCCCTAAGCTTTTGAAAGCATTGATTTCCTCTCTCTGAAAACACACACAGTCCACGTTTAACCAACGTCCAACAAAGGAATTACCCATTCATTACCCTTGCAAAATCAAAGTGCGGCTCGTAATGACCCCCGATACCATAATTGACAACCTGCAATTCTTCGGCAGTAGTCATCGTGAGTCCGGTCATGTCCTCAACCCTCTGACAAACGGCTGCTATATGCTTGTGCTCCTCATCCTTCAGCCAAGCCGATTTGCTGATCCTATATTGAGCAGTCTCCAGTTCACCAGTCTTAGAATTTTGGACCGTCGCTCTTTTGAACTGCAAACCAAAAAAACAACAACGTTAACATTAGCATTCCAAAAGCGTGCGTTCCTCGAACTTATTCAATGCGACTTATTCAAATTCCGAATACGTCTATATTTACAATTAGCTACATTATTATTATAATAATTAGGTTCTCTCAACGCGTCAAGATTCGACCTGTAATTGCCGCTGTAAAAAAAATATATATATAATAAAAATAAAATCCTCATGCTGCCAATCAAGTGTCTAAGCGTGTAGCAGCACGTCCGAAGCAACTCGCAACTCCGAACTTCATTAAAACAATTACAGATTCCTCATCGAATCAACCATACAACAGAGTTTCTAAAATGAATTTCAACTGGCGGAAAGTCCTCCGCAGAAATTGAATTAGTTGCAAATTCAGTTACCGACTTTATGCATTATTCCACAAACAGCTTGGAAATAACGGTAACAAAAAAAAAAGGTTTAATATTTGACATCATAAAACTAACGTTGCAATAATAATCAAAGGTAGTAACGTAATAATAAACTGATACTATTTCGTAAACAGTAGTAGGATTTGGTGGGAAGGATTTCATTATTCGTTTATTCCTTAACTGGAGCGAATGTTGTCAATATTTCCGACTGCGTATTTTGTCGTCGGTATTTACAGCTGGAGAGTGCCACTCTACTTGATGTTTATTTGCTTTCCTAAGTGCGTTATTTGTGCAGCTCAGTATTTGCCGCAATTTTCGTTATATTCGAAGTATCATGGATCCTGCGCTAAGATATCCTAAAGCAAACACTGCAACTCGACAAATATTAGTTTGAAATGAACGAATTTCCTGTATACAATGTACATTGTACAACTAGGAAGGATATTTTTAGGTTTGCTTCACGTCATATAAATTCACGTCTATACATTTATTTCGATCCAAGTGGTATAGATATATGTGGAGATGAAGAAATCTTCCTCCCAGAGGTATTTCCTAAATTATGCCTCCTGCAGTGAGCAATATCCTGGATAGATCGTACCATACATTATGCGCTTCTTTATTTTTTTGGTTTGCATTAAATTTTATGATGCCAATACAAGAGCAGACAGAGAATTGGAAAACGATCGAACGAATTCCTATTAAATCCGTATATACCACATATTTATGGCCTGGTGGAGCTCTTTAACGCGTCTTAAAAAAAAGATCTAATAGCTTACAAACTCAATTTCTTCCAGATAAAATAAATATACAATTATTATACAATGATACTTAAACTTGATATAATCACATAAACTTAATTTATAGACTTCATTTTATATAATTTATAGTTAAGTTATTAAATAATATAAATATCAACGAAATTAATTAAAATTTAATTAAGATTTTGTATTAGCTTTAATTGGGACATAATATTTCATAAAATAATTATCTATTTAAAATATCAACTAAAGTAAAAATAAAAAATGTTTGTTGTGTTATTTATTAGTTTTCAAGGCAAATATTGTATCTCTTTATATATAAATGACGCCCATGCACGTAGAAGTCGTTACCTTAAAAAGAAACTGCATTTATCACATGCTACATGTTATTTTTTGCGAGTGGGCGAATTCCAGAATGACTTTGAGATTTCTTTGTCTGCGTTTGACCAGAACGATACCCAAAGAAGGTCGGGGGAATAATTTGCATTTTGTAGCGGACAAATGTTTACCTATCGTCCATTTGAGTTATAACTGAAACTTTTATGAAAGAAGAAGGAAACTTTAAAACTGAACTTAATGATAGCGAATGTAAGTAGTTTCAGCTATATTCGTGAAAATAGATTTCATATCTTCGCACTTTCAAACTTATTTATTCTTTCTTTCTGAATGTCACGTTTATGGTTATCACAATCCTTGTCCTGATTGTGTCCACAAAGGCAGTTAGTTATACAATACAATTACAACGCCAAAATAAAGTAGAAAAATTATTTAAGACAATTTTAGTATCGAAAGTTTAGTAGTATTATCTGAAAGTTAAAAAATGTGCTTAAAAAAAGAACTTTAATAATAAATACTATCGATATCTTTGTACTTTTCTGAGGATATTTGTACGTGAAGGCGTTTGCAAATAATTGTAAGTATCAACGAACGTAATGTACGTTAAGTGAGCACTGACTGTATTTATTTAAATATTGCTTTGAAGCTTTCATAATGTAATTATTCATACTTGTGTATAATTGAAATCAGTAATAAGTTTGTGAATGTTTATAAAATTATGTAAAATTTAGAGAATTTGGTATAAAAGGTATTAAGGTATAAAAATGTAATGTTCTTACTCTGGGTTGAGCTATCTTCTTAACAGTTGCGATCTCTTCATCGGACATGACGTCATGGTAGATGAGCAGGCGAGGTTCGGTGTAAGCCTCTTCAACTTTGAAGGGGGCCAGAATGGTGAACTTGTTTCTGACTGTATCCCCGTGGTGGTAGAAGCACTTCAGTTGGGATAGGATCTCCACGGGGGTCATGACCTCGCCGCGGCAAAGCTGCTCGTACAAGTCCCTGCCGACCGGATCGAGCAGGTCTCGTTGATTCTGCAAGTGCCGAAAATGATATTCATTGAAACTTCTTAAAGGGCGAAGCCAAAAAAAATGTGAGAGTAGTGGAAGAAGTATGCAAAAGACGTAATACCTTCGGGGATATCTCCATTGAAATGTCTTCGCTCTCGTCGTCGCCCTTGCGCTTAGCCAAATTGGTTTTCTGTATAGCATCTTCGTAGTACACCTTATTGCCTAATGCCCTCGCGTGGCTAGGAACCAAGTCTAATAGTTTGTTTGTTAAATCTAATGCTAAATGTACATTTCCTGAAACAAGAACATAAATAAAATTGAATAATAAAATTTAATACAAACACATAATTGAATACAATTCAAGATTCACATAATCACAAGAAACATTTTAATAGTTGATATTTAAATTACATATTTTTTTCTTATTCATTTCATTGATAAGTATTGAAAAACAGTGCAGAATGCATTTTATAATTTGTTTAGTTTTGTTTTATTATAGTTTTTGCATTATATCATCTATTTAAATTTAAAATATGTTTATTTATCAATTTTTAATAGTTTCAAGGAGAAATCCATACTATACTAAATAACACATGCCTTTTAAAAACTAAATAGCAAAATATCAATATAATATATAAATGCGATCAATCAACTAATGCATTCGGAGAAGATTTATGGATCGGAGAATATTAAAACTGCTTAATGTTAGGTAACTTAAAAAGCACTTTGCTAAATGGGGCGTAAATGCACTAAATTGCACATTTTCGAAGGAGCCGACGTGCAACAACGGAAAACCGCAACTATACATTATTAAAATAACAACATTGTATGTTTCCACAATTTATTAAGCCATTAACTTAATACTTACGCTGAACTATAAATTGGCAAATTTTCATTATTTAATTAAAACTTAATTTATGTCCTAATTAGTACACGACTTTACTTATTATTTTCGTATGAAATTAAACTGCATTTTCGCATGAATTAATCTCAAATTAAATTCAATTGACGAAAGTTAATAAATACTAAAAATTTCTATTATTAAAATTGAAAAAATAATTTAAATATATACATTTTAAAAAAAAAAACAAGAAAATTTTAATAATTCAATAACTCATCTACACTGAAACTTAACTTACGTTATAATTAGTACTCGAGTCCACTTATTACATTTATAGAAAATTAAACACAATTATTGCTTTAAAAAAAAATACAAGCTAAATATAAATTATGATTAGTTAATAGAAATATTTTTAATTCATGAATTTAAATGGAAAATTAGACATTATTTTATGTATTATAATAAAAAATTAAGATTCATTATTCAAAACAAATTAAATTCATATTATCTGAGCATAATAATTTTTGTTTTGAGATTTAGTATTTTTTTTAATACAAACTAAAACTGTTTAATTGATAGATTACCATGGAATATATAGGATACTAATACCGCGGTACAAGCATTTATAACACGGAATTCTCTCATTTAGTTATATTGTGCGTTCTACGAGAATCGCGTTATATAAAAAGTGGGCCTAGTCTACTAAATACATATTATAAATTAATCAATTAATTAATGTTAACAATTCAATTAATCTGACAATTTTATAATAAACTCGATTAGTTCATTATATTTCGATATATCCGAGGTATGATTTAATATACAATTTCGTACAAAGAAATAATTCAAATATTTGCGAAGTTTCCAGCGTTGCGCATAAGGTATCCGATCTTTAAAGCACTTTATATTCAAATTCAAACATATAAAGTTTAAGCAAAGGCTGTTGATGAAATGCAAACAGACGCTCGCGACTTTTTCAATTAAATCAAGTTAACTAAACTAACCGAAGAAGTGAGGAAGAATAATATTAAAGTTAAACCATTTTGTATTCATACGATTAGAATATCTTTACAGAGATTAATAGGCATGAAATTATGGCTTCTGGTTATTTTGGATCAATATTTTCTTAAATAAATGCGAATTTTTATAATAAAATATCAGTATGTAATATTAAAAACTTACCAACAAACTGATAACCTAACCTAAACTGTCATCTTGACAACCTAATTTAAACTGACAACTTGATAACCTAACCTAAACTGACAACTTGATACCTAACCTAAAACACTATGAAATGTACTACGTCACACACGTCATGTATTGCGCATAGAATTAAAAAAACCTAAGTTAACAACTTGACATAACCTAAGCGGTGAACAACAGAACTAAGCTAAAAAAAATTAAAGTTTTCCATAAAAACTGATTATGTAATAAAATTATCGATTATGAATATGAATCTGTTATACTTTTTAAATAACATAAGACATAATTTTAAGCTGTATACTCAAATTTAACAACATTGCAAGTACGAGTCATAGTAACTTTTAAAATTGGGAACCATACACCCGTAATTTATCATTCCGTTACAATTCTCCATAGACTATTTCTATGGGTCTCCTGAGCATTATATCTTTTCTACCCTCAGACATATTCTCGTACCGATTCATGCAAGTTCGAGTACAGTTTACTAAATTACTTCTGCTGCATATAACCTCCACACTAGTTATATATGAATTTCAGATAACTTTGTTAATACTGCTTCAAATATTTATATCCGTGAACGTGCTCGAAAAGTTAATAATTCTAAAAATATTGAAAGTTACATTTATATTCTACTTTATATTCAATACAGAATATAAATTAAACCTTATTTTTAGGTCGTTTTGTAGTTGAGTTAGCGATGTGCGTGTGTGTGTGTGTGTGAATAAGGAAGGCTTTCAGATATAAATGAATCGCGTCTCATGAACTGATGTATCTATTCATCCATGCACATCTCTGAACTCGATTCAGTCCATTCAATTTCATCTAAATATATTCAATAGTCATGAATAATACAGGGATTCATTATTGTAATTTTCCTCGTAAGATATGAATACTGAATTTCATATTTGTATGAAAAATATCAAATTTTTATGATAAAAATGTATTATTTTCATATTACAAATTTTTATATAATTTTATCATATATAAACACTTTTCAATATACAGTAGACTCCCGTATAACGCGATTAATAGTATTATATGAAAATCGTGTTAAACGAAAATTTTCCTCGTATAACACGAATAATATAAATAACATGTTTGAGATGACAATTGTCATATTCAATTTTAATGACGTTAAGAGTCGTCGTCATTTCGGAACTTTATTCAACGTATTTCTTAATTTCTTCGTTTTATATATATTAATAAGTTTTACAAATTTCTAAGAATTTGTAAGAAATTTAAATATTTTTTGTAATGAGCAACAAAATAAAATTTAGATACATCTTGCAGATATTGCATATAAAAGCCACATCCTGCTTAGTAAACGTTTCTTCTCGGAACATGCAATAACTTGTTTATATTTCTTTTTTAATAAATTTAAAACAAATATGAAAACGCATATAACAAATAAAATTTCACATATTTTCACTACAATTACTTTAATATAAAACATTATTATTACTAATTTGCTTATAAGATTTTAACAAAAATATAATTTTACTGTTATATTTATTTAGTACTGAATTTTAATGTAATATTTTTGAATTTATTTTGTCTATATTTTTTATAGAAAAAAAAATGTTAGAAAACAATTAGTAACAATATGTGCAATAATGAAAAGTATAGATGCAGATGCTGCAAATAAATGCCACATGCCTACTCTATAGACGTTTCTTCTCGGAAACGTGTTTTTATTTTATCATCTAATAAAATGCAAAATAAGAATGGAAACCGCATCCACAATCAACGAACGCTCAGTCAACTCAGAAATTGCATAAAAGAACTATAAATTTCTCTTACAAAACCAAAAAAGAAAGAGAAATTAAAAAGAAAAACTGAAGAGCATTTCCTCATCCGTTTATACCGCATTAAGTTATATATATATATGAGGAATATTTCGCGTTAAACTCTTCGTTTAATAATATAAACGAGGGATGGCCAGAGAATAATTGCTTAATTTCACCGCAAACACCTCCACTTGCTGCGGCAATGAATTACCCAAGAATTTACGACCTCCACAACTTGCATACGGCCCAAAATTAAGTTGCACACGGGAATTCTAATAGCTTAAATTCCCGAGTATTTATAATTATTTTTTTTTCCTTTTATTTTTATACCGACAAGAAAACGGGCTTTTCATTGCGGAAACATCAACAAATTTATAACGACCTTTGTGAGTTTCAGCAAAAAAGATCTGGAATGATGAAAGTCGTAGGAATGGTGAATGTTTCCCTTTTATTATTTTTTTTTTCGTTTGTTTGCGGTGCGACCGAAATAACAGGAGCCGCATTTGCATTTACGAAGGGAAGCGACCCTGCGTCATGTCGCTTGTTCCCTTTGACGTCGCTAAGTGCGCTATTTAAACTGAGTTATTAAAAAAGAGAAAAAGCGGAGCTTCAAAAACTAATTAGTTACCTTGTTTGAAGGTGGAGAAGGCTAAATATTCTAGGATGTCGCTGCGCTCGACTGTTTCGTTCGCTTCCATTCCTAATCGCGTGTCCGCCTCCCTCATCCACAGTTGAGTATGGTAATAATCTTCGTTGTTGTAGGATTGTCTACCTAATTCGAAACAGTCCGCAGCGTTAAGCTCGGAGCTGTATTTAATTCCATTCAGTTCGCCTCTCGCCAAGGATGATGTATCCAATCGGTAAGTGTCCTGGAGGCGGGTCAGAGCCACCGCCGCTCCGTTCAGATCCTCGTCTGATGGGAACTTGAGGTGCTGCCTGTACGAAGTTATGTTGGCGATGAACTCTAAAAAAAGAATAAATGTTTAGATCTCGGAACATCACGAATACCTCAATCCATTTCCAGCAAAACCACTAAAGCTGATTGCACTAACAAATACTGTTTCTAAGTCAATCGATCCATAACGATTGACTTAGATTTGTCGTGAACCTATAATTTTTTTTCTAATATATATAATTTTTATAATATGGAATGGTACGTCTTATAGTCCGAAAACTTACTGTAAACAAATATTTTATACTAATTGAGTCTTAATACAGTTAATTATAAATTTTCCTTTTTTAGCTGAAATACACCTACATATTATATAGAAAAATATATAATGTTCATTATTAATCGAAGTAAAACTTTGAATTCTCAATAAATTAACCTTCAAATTATTTTTTTTTATGATAAGTAAACATATTTGGAGTAAAGATAATAAAAATTTCAAATCAAAATGAACTATTCTTTACTTGTAATATTACAGACCCACTACGAATTCTATACATAATTAATTCTAAATAAAGTTTCATAATCATTGATAATGTTAAATCATTATATAAATACAAGTAAATTCGAGAAAACGTTTGTTTCTAGAGCAGGTGAAGAGAATCAACTTTCCACAGTATTTCTTCCTAAAATGGGAACTAGAAAACTCAAAGAAGGATTTGATTATGAACCAAGTAAATCTTATTTTCAAAGTCTTACAAAAAGTAAAAAATAACAAATAACATTATATAATTGTTTGTTCTTACTATTTTTTTTTGGAAAAAGAAACAAAAATGTAGTTGTGAGTTAGTATAATATTGTGTAACTCTGAATCTGCAGAAATATATTTACAGATATTAAAGATTTCTCTTCTATCTTCTTTACAATAATCTATTAAAACTTACTATTCTTGTTTTGTACACTATTACTTGTACAAATTGTACTATTCTTGTTAAGTGCACAACAAGATTATTTGATAACGAATATTTAAACCATTATATATCTGCAATATTAATACTCTAAATTTGCACATGTAAGTTTAAGGAGTGAATTAATATAAAGAAGATGTAATTTGAGTTGAGAATATTTTACTTAATGTATTTATTTTTGATGAAAAAACATTTATTTATTACCAAAAATGTAACAAAATATGCATTCATTATTTAGAAGAAACTTTTTCAATAATTTAGAAATATTTTTTGTACTAAAAATTGAAATTTTTTTATTGATAAGGGAAATATATTAGAGCTGATATATTAAAAAATTATTTATAATAAATTGTCAATATAATGGAAATACATGATTTTATTACGGTAATAGTTGTAACATTAAATAAAAATAAGATATGATATTCAATAAAAAAAAAACTGTTAATAGTATAGTGTCTGAAGATAAAAAATCGTTGTTTTGACTGTGGTAATATACATTTTAGGATCTTACCTTTACCAACATTGGTGTTCATCAGGGCTTCAACTTGCTTCCAGTCAGTGGTCAACCTTTTGACTAGAAGATACGCGTTTATTGGATTGGAAACGTACATCTGCATATCCTGCGAGGCAATGTCGTGTTGGTTCTGGTAAGCATCGGCATATCTAAACATTAACAGACAAACATAATTACCAAAAATTATTTAAAAAAAAATAATAAAATTACCGTCGCAGAAGATTGAGCCGTTGTTCTTGCTCATTAATGTACACCTCCAAAGTGTTGATTAGCACGGATTCTGTGCTGAGAAGTTCTTCGAGATCCACGAGGGCTGTGTACAATTCACCTCTAGCCGTTCCAACAACAAGCGCGAACAAGAATAATGGGAGGAAGTGAGCCATCGCTTACGTAATTTCTGCGCCCTCTGTAAAGACAGAACAACAACAACGTAAAAAAAAATAAAAACACCAACAACAAAATGAAGAAAACACAGGAAGAGTGTTAATTGTCCGTCTCTGATTTATGCACCCGGATCGTTGCCAAGATTCGGAGCGTTGTTTACGTAACGTTGTTTCACCCGCATTCAAAAACTGAATAAAAAAGAACGTACATCGACTAACTGCCAAATTATTAATATCATTTTGTGACATGAGGTTATTTGATTCTTTTTGTTATTATTTTTGTGAAGGAATTCAATTGGGGAAGTCGACTGCGCGTTACTATTATGCATTATATAACGAGTTATTGCGAACGTCTGCCCTTGGCAATCTAATTTTGAAGGGAAGGAAAGGAAAACGTCTCGACGCTCCTCTCCTTTTGCTTCACAGTAAAACAAAATGAGCCGACCGTGATGAACAGCGAAGAGCAGAAGCAGCAGCAGCATCCACCGAGAAATTTTCTCGTGTGGAAGTATTTTAATATTCCCTGTGTCGGCGCATCCTTCGTAATTGGATTACAGTGAACGCTTCATTTTTCTGTTTATATTATGTTCATTCTTTTTCGCATCATGGAAATATGATGTGCGCAGATGGAGGAGACCCAAATCAATTGGTACGGATGGGCTTTTGTCCGCTCGGGTCAGTGGTTCTTCGATGCAAATGCGACGTCCCTTGCATGCATTTCTACATTTAATATCTCCCTAACCGACAAAGTGAGAAAGAACGAAAAAACTAATACCAGGAATTCTCGATATTTATCGCCGAGGACGAGTGCAGAATTCACGATTTTTTCAGCTCTCACCTTTTTTGTTTGTTTTTTTTTTTAATTCGGTCAGTCCACTCTACACTGAACTCCGGCTGCAGTAGACCTGAGTTCAAGTCTCAAATAAATTCACCAATTCAATAGTCCTTATATAACCATACAGAATACAGGTACTAAATTTAAAATAATTTGCAATTCGCATTAAAAATGGATTATTTAAGACAACAACGGCAAATGGAATATTGTAGATTCATTCGTTCTTAAATGAAGATATGACAAAGGATTATTACAAACAACAATACCAAAAATAATATAATAATTAATAAAGTAGTGAAATTATAATATGCTTAATACAATACTAATTCATAATACAGACATGGAAAAGCTCAACTTGAGCATCTATAATTTTCATTAAAAAAGGATTATTGAAGACAACAAAATCAAATCAAATGTAATAAATTCACTAGTTTATTCGACCTTGCATAATAAAGATATGCCAAAGCATAACCAAAAGGAATATTATAAATTTACTACCTTTAACGTCCTCTCATAACATATAGAATAAATTTACGGAAAATAAAAAATTAATACATCAATAATTCTCACTAAAATAATGGATTATTATAGACAACTAAACCAAAAGGAATCTTTTAAATTCACCATTTTAATAAATAGTCACTACTTAAGAAATACAGAACTTAATCATCTCTAATTCTCAGTAAAAAAAGACAAAAAAGGAAATCTAATTTTATAAATCCATTATTATTTAAAAAAAATGGTTAGTGTATTAAGAAAAAGGTCAGAATTGCCTAAACATTATCTTTAACGATCCGCAATTTTGATTCTCAAAAAGGATTATTGAAGACAGCAAAATCAAACCTATTATAACCTTTAGAATTAAGAAAAAAAGTTATAAAAGGTGTTTACTATTAAATGTCTAGGCATACACTTAGCTTGGCTATTAAGAAAAAGGTCATAACTATCTACAAGTAAAAATTATCTATTTGCAATTCTCAAATGAACTTCAACATAGATTTTTACAATCTAAAATCAATACACACGAGATGGAATATATTTAAAGCTGTAATGATTTGCAAACTAATGTAATTAATAAGTAAATTTTGATATTTAGAATAAAAACATTTAGTGTATGATGTAATTAATAAAATGTATCTTCATTTTTTATTTACAATTGAAATACTTCAGTGATTTCAATCGATCCCTTCTTAATAAGGCATGAATAGACCCAATAAAGTGTAAAATTAATTTGTCTTAATTGAAATTATTACCTGACGTAATTAATTTAATTTCAATTTAACATAAACATGTTTTATGATTATCTTAAATTTTCTACATAAGAATAATGTTGATTTTTTTTATTAAAATATAATTTAATTGAAAATAATATTAAATTAATTTCAAACTTTCGGACATTTCAATTTCATGTAACATTATTTTAATTGTATATCAGAAAATAACACAAAATTTTATATGTATTGAGGAAAATTAATTTGTAAATATATGAGTGTAAAATATTAATTCTATAAAATAATTTAAAACTTTCGGACATTTCAATTACACGTTACATTATTTTAATGAATTTCGTTTTAATGTAGCAAAAAAGAGAAATTAAAAGGAAATTATGAATACGTCTGAAAATAACACAAAATTATATATGCCTTGTAGAAATTTAAGTTATAGGTAAATAAATACATGTTAAAAGTTTGGGATATTTCAATTTCACGTACGATTATTTTAATGCATTTCGTTTTAGTGCTGAAAGAAAAACTAAACTAAAAATATAAAAAATGAGAATATAATAGTAATAATAGCTGTACGGCTTAATTGCAGAGCGATTACGTTTATGGTAATTTTATTCCAGCAATTACAAAAGTGTGTGCGTGTAATTACGTGGATTCGAACATAGCGTATCACGTATTGTGTTTCTTAATTGGAAAATTGCAACCATTGCATGTTCATTCCCTCATGCATATTCCATTCTGCGAATCAAACATATATGGAAAATATTCAGAATCGATATTTTTGTAATATAAACCCAACGTTCATTTCATTTAACTAATAATTACAAAAAAAAAACGTACTGAATCCATATACAGATTAAAATGTATCCATTTCAATAAAACCTTTGACATCATCCAAATATCTGTTTTTGGCTGATGATTTTTTGTCGTTTATAATGAAAAGAAGTTGTTTTTTTTTTCTTCGATTTAACAACAAAAAAAACCTAAATATAAATTTAATTTAAAAAAGTTTTAGTATAACTGAAGAAATATTAACTGAAGAAAACTTAATTAACAAATTTGAATTATATTCAATGCTTCAAAACCAAAAATCTAAGAATTTTCTGAATAAAAAACATAAAAACAATAAATTTCCTGCAATTGTCAGCTATGAGAAACTTTTATAAATATTCATGGGATGGTTTGGATTGTATAGATGGGAATAAACAATAGTAAATCGTAATGTGGATTCGCAAGGTATTCATTACAGAAAGTAAACGTATAGATAGAAAAAAAAAGTATTGTCAATTTGCGAAAAGCACTAAAAAATTGATGCGAAGTATACACATGGTGCTTGTAGTTTCTATTGATTTTCTTGTAGAAAAAACAAAATCCATCTGTGAAACACGTACATTCCCTAGACATAACATTTTTTCAGTAATCATAGAAAAAATATAACGATTTTTAACTGAAATTACAGAAAAATATCAATATACCTCAAATTATTCTCATTTTGTTAAAACATTAAAATGTAGAAACATGTTATTATGTTTTCTTAAATGTTTGATAGATGCAAAATAAAACTTACAAATACAACAAATATTTAATGAATTTTGTAAAACTATTGTAATAAATATTATTTTAGTACTTTTATTGTGTAATTTATCATTTAAAATATAAATAAATTGCAACAATTATATAATATACAAAATACATGAAATATTGTAATTATATAAAATGTAATAAATGTTCACGATTATCTATATTAAATAAATTATATGAAAAACACAGAAATGTATGTTTAATATTCTTTTATAAAATTATGTTAAATATTATTAAAGCATAATAGTTTGAAAGGCTTTATTTCTTTCCCTTTATACTTAACAAAAATTGAGTGGAAGATATTTTTGAAGTGAATGCGAAGAAAAGTTTTCAGAATCGTGCGCTTCTTGCGTAAATTCCTGTCCTGTATTATATCATACCTTGAGCATAAAGCATTTCCTTTTCGCTTTGAAAATATGCCCATTGTTCCGTTAATTAAAAATTATATGAGATATTAAGTGCTCTACAAAATTAAATGAAACTCTAACAACATTGACTCATATAATGAATATATCGATTTATAATAATTTTCATATGCAGTCATAAAATCTTAACATAATTAATTAAATAAAATTCATGTTTATTTTATTTAATTAATATTAGAAATTTTAAACAATTATAGAAGTTATTTTTCGTAAACAATGTTGATGGAATTAGTAAATTTTAATATAAATTAATTCAATTTGTATTGAATATTTGAATGAATTTAATTACAATTAAATCTTCATGAATTTCTGCGCCCGTTTTAATAGAAATTTCAGTGTGTTTATGTAATGAAGTAAATCAATAATTTGATAAATCATTTAATAATACGAGTATCGAATTGGGTATAAATTAAATTGAAAATTATATGCGAATGGCAGCAAAAGCATACATTAAAATTACTAATCAATAATTTAATTAAAAGCTACTCCAGGTAAATGTCTGTCTTTTCATCTCAGAATTGAAACATAAAACTTCCATTTTCCATTAAAAACAAAATGAAAATTTGTTGCGTTGAAGAAAAGGCAAGCCTTAATTGCATCAAAAATTAAATACAGAGAGAACTTCCTTTGTGAAAGTAAAAAGCATATTGCAACAAAATGATTACTTTATTCTCTGTGAAAATGGAGTAATTAATTAATAAAGAGTTTTATATAGTTTAGATAAACGGATTAACTTTAATCCTTGCTTTCTTTTTTTTGTTTCATTCACACTATTATTTGCTCTAGAAATATCGATTTTCCTTACACATTTTCCAAAGTTTTTTCAAGTAGTAAATTGAGATTAATGACTTTTCTTATAAATCAAACAATAGAAATGAAGATGGATGTGTTTTCTTTAATAGGAAAATCAATGAGTTTTTTTTTGCTTTGTTAATCAAATATGAAAAAAATATGTT